CCATTATTCTTTTTTTATGTTGATAAATATCATAATCTCATACTTAAGTTTTTGTTGAAAATATATCGTATATAATTAAAACACCATTTCTATCAAACATTTCAGTAAAATCTATAAATAGTACGTGTTGTTTAGTGGCGTGGTGAAGGCTTATTCGAGAATCAGTTGCTTTTGAGATTTTTAAGGGTAGATGAGTAGTATATAAACTACAACTATGTAAGCTTATATGTTTATTCTAAAGTATTCCAACTAGCAAGTGTCACTTTTATTAGATAGCTACTCAAGTATAACAATACTCCAATTTCAGTGATTTTCTTGTATTCTATTGGTAAAAATAATGCATAATCATTCAGTATCACATATCTCGTAAGAACCATTTACAAACTGTTACACCAGAAATGTATTCTATATGTCTAAACCGACATATTCTTGCACCATTTACTGTTATAGTGGCAAATCAAGCAACCACATATTATGTTCTAATAAGCGATAACAGAAGTATCGGTGTTGTAGGCATTAGGTTTCAAAAATATATCACCGAACTGCAGAATCGTGTTTCAAAATTATTGAACGTTCTTTAATGTTATTAAAATATTTAATCGTGTTTCATTATGATTGTGAATTAAGAAATAATAAATAAAAATCGGTTAATTTATTTGTAATGTCTATCGTAAATTTTAAATTTATTTTTCGACGTTTTTAATAACTAATAACTATTAATTATACATTATACTATTATTACTACCTGCGTATCTTATATGCATTAAATTGGCAAAATATAATTTCCCCTCATCAACAAACAACAATAATTGATTTTTATTAAAAATGTTCACTTTACTTATGCATAGTATGTTACAACTTTCAACTTTTAAAGAATTTAAAAGTAATATTTAAATACGCATTATAAAAGTTACACCATTTTAAACGAAAATGGTTCGTTCCACTTTGTACCAAGACAAAAAAAAAAATGGATTTTAATTTATTGGTCAAAGCTGATAAAAATTTAATACTATATACTACTGAACTATAATACTTTATAATTATTTTGATAACTTAGTAAAGTACAAAATATATTCTATAAATTTAACAAAAATTACGAAATTGAATAACTATAAAATATATTCTTTGTAAGACATTAAATTAAATATAATTTTGTTTTCGGAAAAATAATGAGTTTAAATTCCAATACCATGTATAGTATTATAATATCCAAATATGTATATTCTGTATTATGTATATTATATATATATAATTACATCTAGTGGTATATATCGTTAAAAAATTATCTATAATACAATATAAATAAACTTTTTTTTATTGTTTAAGATACAAGTACAATTTCCATAAAAAGCGTATAGTCGTATTTATTATTTCAAATATTATATTTTATTTTTTAATGTAGTAAAATATTTTGCTATTTTAATAAGGTATACTGGCATACGTTATTTTATAAAATACATTAACAAGTTACACATAAAAAATTATATTTGTATCATAAATTAAAGTAATTTTTAAAATAATAAAATAAATTCATTGTCATGGTTAATGTTTTAATGGTGTGGAACCACGTTTGACGTAGTCTGGGTACTGCGTAAAATGATTGGATATTACTTCCTTATTCTATTTTTGCTTATGTCCATTACCTTGAGCATGTCAAACAATTATTTATTTTTTAGGTTATACTTTATGATATATATTATTATTTCTATTATATTCATTTGAGCAATTATGTAAGAAGAATTACGTGTATAAATGTTGTTATTGTTTTGGAACAGCCTTGAGATTTTCCCTTATTCTCAAACTACTTTTTGGTACTATGCACATCTTTCTATTTAAAAATAAGGGTGTAGTACAGTTTCCAAATTAAATATAATTTAATTTTTTAACCAGGCAGTTGTGTATATGTTCAACTGTCATGTTCTATTTCAGTAAATAAAATATATTATTAAGAGGACGTCATACCCGCATGTGTTGTCTCCGTCTGACATATGTATAATATAGCAAATTTGCGTTCAGTGATTCAAATGTAGTGATGTTAGCTTTAATATTATATTAAACTGACCTCTAATCAAAATTTAAGGTAAGAACGTTGTCTGTGTTTTGTTGGTCGGATTTTTCCGATATTTTAATTTTTTAGCGAGTTATGATATTTTTTTAAATGTTATATTTCACATACGTATAACAAGCTTAAAATATCGGAAAAAACCGACCAACAAAACACAGATAATGTTCTTCCCTTAAAGTTTGATTATAGGTTAGATTACTCTAATATTAAAGCTAACATCACTACATTTGAATCACTGAAATTGTTCGCAAATTAGCTATGTTGTACGTACGTCAGACGGAGACAACACGTGCGGGTGTGACGTCCTCTTAACCTTTTTCAAAATACTTATTTTATTTTCTTAAACAATTGAAAAACACCATATTTCAAAAACGTCTAATGGAAGTGAACAAACGACAAAGGTGGAACTCGTCGTTAAATCGTTTTGAGTCGAACATTCAAAGCCGGCTCACAACAACGTCCTTGAATATAATTTTTATTTTACTTTCTACATACTTTCTGAAAATCTCACGTAAACATTGACCATCAAAAGAGTTTTCTCGTAAAAATTAAATGAATCATAAATTATTCGAACGTTAGTATTAATCGAACCAACACGAATATTATTTCCACTTTCCAGCACCAATATTGTATTATCGACAAAAATATAATTTTAATGTTTTCCACGTTTACATTATTTCTCATTTACAATGTTCTTATATTTATTATTGTACTCAAATAAATCGGTATTAAACAGCAACAACAAGAGAAATTCCAATGTTTTTAATTGGCGCAATACTAATATATCGTTTCCGCGTTAATAGCTTAATTACGATACGATATCGGTCTGACAGTGCGCGGATTTTTTTTTTTTTAAAGAATACCCAATCAAAGACTAATAATTATAAGCATCGGATCGTTTAATCGTAATACTCGATAAACTTTTACGTTTATGTGCACACGTTGGACTTTTGAATAAGTACTCGGTCCACAGTCAGTAGTACAAAAGTAATAATCACGGTCATTAAACACTTCGGCACGATTTACGGTCCGAACGTTACGTATAACTTTGACACGTGCGCGAAGAGTAATCTATATTATGAACAACATATTATTATTATTATTGGATTACGATACACGCGTACATACGCGTAGGCAAAGTTCTAAACGGGGAGTGTATTTAAGGGATGCGAAGGGGCCCCCCTTTAATCTATATTTAAGGAATCGATTATATGTAAGATACACATTTCAAATTTTTTTTAATGTGGATCATTTTATAACGAAATCACATTATGCGCAGCTGTGAATACTGAATTGGGCTTTTCGTCGGGTGCATACTTAGTTGAAAATCAAATAAAACACAAACGTAACTTTCAAAACACAAACAGGTGTTAAAAAAGAACTACACAAAAGTCGATTCTTAGAGAATCGACTTAGTGGATCCGGCATTAGATTAAAAAAAAAAACCACAAATATTAAGGATTCACCAGATTTAAATATGATATTACCAAAAATTTTATTGGTAAATTTTGAGCCTGATTTAAAGAAATATTTGAGTCGCTAGAAGTAAGTCTAAATACGCCCCTGGTTCTAAATCTATAAGACGTTTTCAATGGGATAATTTCCCTGTGCACTTGAATTGAAATAGGCTCTGCGTGGACCCGCAGTGGCACGCGTTCCTCTGACCTTTGGGCACGGGCGAGCGAGTGCGACGTGCGTACGTGCGTGCGCGTGACTTGTTTGCTCGGCATAACCTCTGCACAACAATAACGGCGTCGAAAATACATTATAATAATACGCAGACTTCTATACTAACCAGATAAGGTACTTCTGTCATCGCGTGAAGCTTTACAAACGATGACGCCGTATTCTAATTTTTCCACATTTTGTTTGATATATTTTTAGTTTTGTACATTTTGCAATATCATTTACATACTTAACACTAATTTTAATCAATATTTTTGCAATTGCAATACTGAATTGTATAATTATTGAACAATACCAGTATCTTGTGTGGATTACGGATGCTCCAGTATTATTTTTTATGGGCGATTATGACCAATTCAGTATTATTAATATTCTTTATTATATTATTGGTTTTATTGTAAGAAAATTATTTAAAATTATTGTTTAACACGTTTAAACAATTTTATAAAAAAGTCAAGTGAACCATAGTCATAAATATTTTTATTCCATATTAACCGATGTAGAAAACAGAAGAGGATTATTAAAGAGTTCGAATAGGATTTAGTTAAATAGATTGGAAACTTGTTAATAAAACTAACTTGCTGTTTTATTTCTATTACACGTATATTTGGCTTTTTTATAAAAATAATATCTCAACCAAAAATTATGAGTGTAATTTTTATATTTTACAAAATATGATATGTTCAGATGATACATTTTACGAAATCATGGATAAGATTTAGTATCATTAATCTGTAAATAATATGTTTAAAAATACGATTACATAATGTTGCCAAAGCAAAAACCCTTAATTGTGTTTAACTTTTATGTCTTCTCGTTTATTTAAATTTGATTTATTGAACAAATAGTATGAATAGTACCCAGCAAGTACCATTTAATATTCTTTTGCCAACCGAAAACATGGTGGATGTATGATCCATTTCCAACGATAAATGCCGTGAGTAGCTCATCTATTTGGTCTGTGTAATAATATCAGTACGTACTGTTCTAACGTTTAAATACTGTCGTCGTTTAAAAAAAACCGCTCCGACTCGTTATTGTAACATACGTGTACATACGTGTATGCGCGTATTGTAAGTGTTGTAAGGACGATAAATGATTACGTGAGACGCGAACTAGAAATGCTCGCAGCGGCAACGTTAAACTGTGCGAGTTGGTGAAGATAAACGGAGCGACGACCGGGAGCCGATGGAAAACGTAATACGGGACCGTGTACGTGTGTACAGCGCGTAATACGAGCAGTCCTGGCCGTAGTACGTTCTCCAGTACCGTTGGACGACATCGCGTCACGCTTCCGTACCCGTTCCGAGGCGCTGCCATCCGACAGCGACGTAGAATAACATTTTCGTTTTCCATCTCTGCCGCCCCGGTGCGTTCGCATAGTACATCTGTACCACTACCCCACTATCTGTACAACACGTACGTAACGCGGTCGTGCAAGCGTCTTGCCGGCGAGGAGATAAATCAAAAAGATCCGCAGCACCGTCATGGAAGAGTTTTTGAACAAAAAATACAAGCTGCACTCCAGCGACAAGTTCGAGCAGTACATGAAAGCTGTCGGTAAGAGAACTATATCGTCGTCGCGTCGTCCTCGAGGACGGGGCGTTGTAACACGTAAACAGTTGCATTGGTACGTCCTGGCGACGGGATTTTTTTCTGCCGTTTCGTTACAGCGCCGATGGCGTTTTTTTTTTTTTTTTTAATTTTTTTCAAAAGCATTTTACTAGTATTCCTAAGATATTACGTGCGCGCACGTCATTTTTGTCTGACATTCCGAGGGCGCTGAACGAGAACGACAGGAATTTTATCGAACAACGATGATCCATTGTAGAGTACAATTAATCGCCGTGACTGATAAGTAGTATCAACGCAACACGCGAGTACCTCTACAATTTCTCTCCGCGCCCTTTTAACGATTACTGTTGCCGCCCGGGCCGTGAGCACACGCACCAACACAACTGCTCGTATTTACGTGCACGTCCCCCTCCACCCCCGTTCTGCACAGCTCGTACTGACGTGCAAGTAGGTCACGCGCACACGCTCGTCTCTACACTTGAACCACTCACACTCGACCGATTTTTTTCGAAATCCCTTCGTCCTTTTAATGTACTTCCGATCGAAATGTCTGTTTTGTTCGTCGATCTCGCTTTCTCCCCCTCCTCCAGACAATCTTTTTTTATTCCCATCTTACGCGTCGCGTAGTATAATAATGAAATGTAAAGATGTGAATAATTTGAGCCTGGTAGACAGTACAAAAATTAGTCTCTACAAACGCGCCAGTTAGCCATCCAAATCGAATATTTTTCAATAATTTCAAGTCCATTAAATCCAGTGTGATGAAATTGCATCGGCCTTTCTGAACGACTAAAAATTAAATACAAAATCCATCCGAGGTCACCCTATATATTCATATATACACACGAGCACGATTGATTTTCGAAAAAGATCGATTGTTTTCTCCCAGTAACCACCACCTTTTATCGACTGCCAACATTCCGAAGAAACCACAATACTTTATCTAAAAGATAATAATCGTTACCTACACGATAACATCACTTTAAATACCATTCGCATATAACACTGCTTATATTAAATGTAATATTAAATTACATTCGTAAAACATCATAAATGTTTTATATTTATTTATATGTACGTATATGGTTTAATAAGTTTAATTATTTAATTATACACCATTACCCCACCCCTATCACTCTAATTTCGTCGTATTTACATATGCCTGCAGGAAAAATGTGTTGGAACATGAGTCAGCGGCATTTTTAATAGATTTTCTCGGTTGAGACATATAGTTAAAAACATTAACTACATTATTATAATTATATTTTACGAGTGTTATAATTATAATACATACATGTTTCCATTTAAACAAATCCCAATTAATGTATATTATTTATTCGAGTGATGATAATCGCTTATTTTTTATTCTAACGTATTTCAATAATTTGATTAACATACATAGAGACGTATAGATGAAGAATATAATTAATTTTAATTTCTTACGTTTATCTATTTAAAACGTATTGTTCAGTTTTCAGTTTTTTACAGCCATATCTTATAATTTCCAAAACGTTTTGAATTACATTTATTACGTTATTATTATATTGTGTGTAGTAGTTGACTCTGTACCATTATTGTTTTGGAATGCAATCAATACAGATAAATAATATATATTTTGTTGCATTAACACAGAATATTATTATACAACATTCATACATAGCACGCGATCTTAGAGCCGTATAATATTTAATTAATGTAAAGGATCGACAAGAAGGAAAAAAGTAATTTTAGAAAGCGTAACGGTCACAATGTGTTATTCTGTAAATTTACTGCGCACTCGCTCTATTTAAAATTATAATTTTTTCACAGTTAATCTATAAAATGTATCATATAAAAGTCATTCGTTGATTTAATATTTTTTTTAATAAAAAATTCTGTTGAATGTTTATATGATATTTAAGAATTATTTTTATACGATAAAAAATGAAACATTTACTCACGTAAACGCATATAATTACAACTGTTTATTTTGAACATGGCTCAAAAATGAAAGAATAGTTTTTACTTTGAGTCGGAAAAACCGAAAACGGGTCATCATCACCCATCGGCTTATTGAAAAGAAGAAAATGTATTGTACGTATATATATGTAGCACTCATATTTAAATACTCGTTTTTCTACAATTCGATTATAACGGATTTCTTCATATACAGTAGAAATCACTACAACGAGCACCGCTTAGAACGAGATATTATTTAAAACGAGAAAAACACTAGGTCCCGACATAAGCCCATATGGTTGTATGTTAAAATATACGTTTACAACGAGTATGATTATAACGAGATATCGACTATAACGAATAAAATAAAACGAACTTGACTAACGACCTTCCAGTTATTAAAAACAGGGACCTGCAACACAAGAACTTTTGGCCATAATTAATTGACATTATAATGATAATCATTGACATATTATCTTTAGATCTTTAGTTGTGTAGATAATAGATATGGATAAGGTACTTATTAATAATCCATATGATTTCTACAAATTCTGGTGTTCTCAATAAAAATTACAAATAGCGTCAGTTGTGTGAAGACTTTCACCATGTCACATCGTCAATTTATGTTGGACGAAAAAATAGGTATAATCGGTCGTTTAAAAAATGGTGAGAAAAACAGCATAATCGCAAAAGAATTTGGCACCTCTTGGTCGATGATTTCAACAATATGCAAGAATCTGGATACGTTGAAAAATATGTTTCAAACCATGTCACTTAAAACAAAACGACTGCGCATTACACAGTATAAGGACCGCGAAGAAGCTGTAATAATAAGGTTTAAACAACAACGGTGCACAAATGTGCCTATAAGTGGTCCTATTTTACAAACAAAAACTGACCAACTGGCTGAAATAATGAAAATAGAAAATTTCAAATGCTCTGCATCTTGGATTCAGCGTTTCCGACAGCGGCACAACATTGTTTTTGGCAAGATCTCAGGTGAGTCATCTGCAGTTAAAACTGAAATGTGATCTAATTGGCTGGCTAAGGTTTGGCCATTCCTTCGAACAGGTTACTGTGATGATGAAATCTATAATGCCGATGAAGCAGGCCTTTTTCAAATTAACTCCCGATAAAACTCTTCGCTTCAAGGAGGAAAAATGCTCGGATGGAAAATTATCCAAAGACAGAATAAGTTTTAGTGGCAGCCAATATGACCGAAACTGATAAAAGAAAACTCCTTGTTATCGAAAAGTCGAAAATCCCTCGGTGTTTTAAAGGAGTTTCATCACTTACAGTATTTTATGAAAATAACATCAAAGTTTGGATGACCTCAGCAATTTTTGAAAAAACTCTTAATTATTGGGATGATGAGTTACACCATAAGAAAAAAAAAATTCTACTGTTGGTGGACAACTGTGCAGCACATCCATCATTGTATTTGAAATTTATTAAACTTGTATTTTTGCTCGCCAACACTACTGCTGTACTTCAACCGATGGACCAGGGCGTTATAAGGAACATTAAAGCTCATTACCGGAATCAGTTGGTACTCAAAATGATTGAGGATATTGAGAATCAATTAGAATCAAAAATAACTGTTTTGGATACCATAATAATGCTGGATAAAGCTTGGTGTAATGTAACATCGAGGGGAATTGCTAATTGCTTTCGACATGCAGGTTTTTGTGACGTTACGACCGATACTACACAGCTACAAGTAAACAATGGATTGATTAATGACATCGATGAGGACTACGTCCAGATTGATGACGACCTCGTAACGTCAGAAATTTTAACGGATGAAGATATAGTCAAAAATGTCATAGTCAGCCAACAAGTTGAGCCAGATAATGATACTGATATCGATGAGCTTGATGATGAGTTTGAAACTGTGCCATCAATATCCGAAGCTCGTGCTGTGTTGAGGACACTAGGAAAATGTTATTACGCAAAATATAAGAGTACAGATACTAAAATAAAATCATTGTCTTTGTTAGAATCATCGATCAACACTACATACACGAAGCAAAGTTCAATCAAAGATTATTTTAAGAAATTAAATTCAAGTGTTTTATAATAATTATGTTTAAGTAATATGTATTGATAAATAAAGTATTGAATCTCCAATTATAATAATTAATAATAATAATAAATAAATTTATTAATAATGTATATAAATTCAGTATTAATCTCGATTATAAGTAAAATAAAAAAAGTCGACAGTTTTATTTTTATATTTCCCGCTTTTAACCGGTTACAACGAATGCTCGTTCTAACCGCATATAACGAGCTATCGGTTATAATGAGAAAAACTGACTGGCCCTTAAAACTCGTTATAACCAATTTCTATTGTACTTATATTCATTATTTATTGGAGCAAAACGAATATACGAGTTTTTTTACTTATACCAAATGTGACTATGGCTTAACTTTCTTATTTTTAATATTTCTTTGTGTAAAAATCGTAATCGAAATTTTTTTGCTCACTTATCATGATTATCACGGATAATATGTGATGGAAATGAATCAATATTATTAAATTTCAATAAGTAACCAAATTCAAAAATCTGGAAATATTTGTGGATCTTTGAGAACTGTTTTAAACACTTGCATGAAATTAAATAACAAAAAAACAACAATATTTGTAAACACTAAAAATATATAAAGTTTTTGATTTAGTAAAATGTAATATTATAACTTTTAATCAAACTTTATTAAATGTTCTCATTTATCATAAATAATAAATTTGATAATAATTATCGATGGTTCAATTTTTTTTACTTTTGTGTTTGATTGTTAAAAAAACAGGTTAAGTTAATTGTCGTAATAAACAACTCGTTTATTTAATAAATAACTTCGTTTCAGAATTAATATAGTTTAAATTCTCGAATAAAATATAATTTGTTTAGATTGTTCAGACTTTAAATTTAAAATGTACAGCACATCACATCAAAAACTTGGGTCGGTCATACGTCACTTACATATTAATACAGCGCACTAACTAGTTTATAAGTTTGTACTAGTACACAGGTAGTTCGCATTGTGGGTCATAAAATGAGGAAGCTGTAGTATATTGATTCGACAATTCTTTCTATAAACAAATATACATCGGTAGTTAAAACATTTTTTTGTTTGACTTCTTTTAAAAAAAAAAAAAAAAATGTAAAAGAAAAAAATCTCATGTTGTAAAATTTGAATAAATTGTTTCTTTTGTGTTGTAATAGGATTTTATTAGAGAATATTAATGAGAATAGTGTAGGAGGCAAGGTCTAAAACGTTTATCTTTCACGAAAGGGGACCCGCATTTTTTTGGATTTTTTCTTTCTATTTTATTTTCTAATCGATCTGTTTTCTCGCTGCAGGTGTCGGTATGTTGACCCGCAAAATGGGTAACACCGTATCACCGGTGGTGGAGCTGACCAAAACCGACGACGGCAAGTATTCGCTGTCGTCAAACTCAGCGTTTAAAAACACATCAATCAAGTTCAACCTAAACGAAGAATTCGACGAGGAGACACCGGATGGTCGTAAAGTGAAGTCGACCATAACCCAGGAGGGTAACAAGTTGATACATGTCCAAAAGAACGACAAACTCAGCACCACGATCGTTAGAGAATTTCAGCCGGATGAACTGAAAATGGTAAAATCAAAATTCTAAATAAAAACCTCATCACATAATTACACGAAAATTAAACCGGTCACACGAGATATCGTCAAATATCCATGTTCTTTACGGATAAATTTGGCATATATGTCTTACACACTACATAAATATGTGAAACGCACTGTTACCCTAACAATGATTTGGTTGTCACATAATAAATTCATAGTAAAATTATAGTATCAGCCGCTTCCTACTATTATTAAAATTATTAATGTTAATAATAAAATTATTATTATAAAAAAGTATAATCATTGTTAAAATATATTATAATTTTACTATGAATTTACTATGACAAACAAATCAATGTTTTAAAAACCATGCATTTTACTTAAAATACGAGTAATTTAAAATAAACTTTATCGCACAATAATATATTACCGTACACGAGGTGTATAAACAATGTTATAAATTATAAATAAAAATTATTAATTAACTAACCAACACCAATTCATAAGGCCTACCACAACGGTTAACGACCAACCACCATTCAATTTTTTTAGTGGAGGGGTCGATTGACTCTTTTGACCCATAATGTATGCGTCACTGATTTCCAGCCATAAGACATATCCATGTTAATGATTTCATAAAATATTCTTACTGTTGTAAAAAATGCGCTTACGCCCCACACCGGGGCAAATTTAATTAGTATACCACATATCACAAGGAGCAATATACTAAGGGGTGGGTATCCTATAGTAGATGACCTTGATTGGAAGTATCAGATGTTGGTCGATATGTTTCTATAGACAACGCAACAATCATTAGTATCGTGTAAACGATAAATGTGGCCAAAAATTAAACTTCAATAATTTTTTAATAAAAATATAATACTGTTGTATCTGATTATTGTCACTAGTTTATAATTCGCACAATATTTTCAAGCCATAAAATACAAAAATTATTTATTCTATATAAATAGTTACAATTAATGATTCACCTGAATTTTATAATATTTGATGAAAAAACAGTTTAGAAAAAAAAATCCAACCTGTCTTATAATGCATCCGGTGTTCAATTCCTGATTTAAAAATGAAATAATTATATTATACGTGTACGACAAAAGTAATAGTTTTTAATAATGATGTATGTATTTTTAGGTCTTAACTGTTGGCGATATCGTTTGCACCAGGATCTACAAACCAGTCCAATAAAATATATATTATACTATTATATATTTACTACAACTCAGATCTTTTGCAGACCCCATCCGAAAAACTTGGTTAACTATAATTTGTGTCCAATTGTAATGTTATGATTACATGAACTATATTTATTTTATTTTAACTTTGGTCTACAGTGTTCATTACATTATCATAATTATTAATATTATTGTTATACATCCTTTATCCTTTATAATATAATATTTCTATTTGCGTGAACATAAATGTATTATTTTTATTTCTGTTCAATTCCTACACCAATACAACAAAACATGTTTACACAATACAATCAGAGACGTATTTAGAGTTTTAACGCCTTAATTACAGTTTTATTGCCACCCCTACATATGTTTTATAAGATTTTCAAGAAAAGTAATATTTATTATCTATGAATTTTACGCGATCAACTTTTGATAATATTATCATAAAAATAAAAATCGCCATAGGTCACTTTACAAAATCTTAAAATTTTTCGATTAACGAATTAAAATAAATGATGAATTAGGGTTACAAAACAATGTTGCCACCCTTAATTCAAAAAAAATGTGCCGCCCGAGGCAATGGTACTTGCTTGCCCTCCCCTAAATACATCCCTCTTTACAATCATAACTTAATGCACAGAACAATCAATTCGATTGCATATTCATGACGCAGAATGTAACGTTCCAATGTGTAACGAAGAAGATTATCGATATACGACATAATACTAATGACGAGACATATAAATGATGTGTCACTGCATTACCGACATGTGTGTCAGTCTAATCAAAACGTTATAACACGTAGACTTGTCACCGAGATTACAATATTGCAGTTCAGAATGAAATTGCTGTGCATTAAATTTAAACATAAGTTATTATCATAAGGGTGCGCACGGGGGTTGACAGATGTACCTGGGCACCTCTCGAATGTTGTAAATGAGGTCCTATAATTTAAGTCTAAGAGTGACCTGTATTTTAACCAGTGCTCGACTTGAAAAATTTAAAGGGGGCCCTGTTTACTTAAAAAAAAAAAAAAAGGCGTCCCCTAAACTTGCTAAGCGTTATAATTATAACGTCATAATAGTAGGGAGATGCTAAAATATTTAAAAATTAGTTTGGATACTCCGTCAGGACGTGTTCTCCCTCAAGTCGAGCACTAAATTTAACTGATGTTGTTCAAATTAAATTAGTTATTCTAAAATATTATTTTTTACTAAATATGTTTGTAATAGAAAAAATTAAACTACATTGTCATGCAAAAACTTATTGTAATAATAAAACAGCGACAGTTTACTAAAAAAGTACAAATCATAAAAAACTGAAGCCATTTGAGAAAAATATATGAGATTCAAGGAAAAATTATTAATTGGGACAAATATACCGTAAAAAATTGAAAATATGTTTATTCAGTTATTTATAAATTATAATTTATTAAATATACTTACACGTTTTGTTAAAATAGGGATCCAAAAGTATTTTAGGCACCTCCTGAAATACAGGTTTGCGCACGCCTATGGTTATTATACATGTACTATTAAATAGTTAAACAACCTAAACACTAACTGTTCAGTTATATATCAATGTATATTTAATATACACAAGGTTCATTGATGCTAAAAGTATATTTTCCGTATACAGCCAGGCTAAACAGCTAGAGTAGTTTTTTTTTAACATAAGCAGTACTTAAATAGACTTCATTCGGAGTTAATTATATTTATTTATGCTAAGTAAACAATTGAATAAATCAATACATTTGTAGAAAAGTAAAGGACTACTAATTTAAATAAAACAAAATAATTTATATTCTTATTTTTTACTACACATAATTTAATAAAGTAGGTACTAGAAATTATCTATTTTTTTAAAATAATCTATAGTATAACTAGATACTTTAATTTGGAAATTAGAATAACTGAAAATGTAGTCTGTATAATAGCGGTTAAATACAAATTCAAGTAAATTTTATTTAATCAAATTTCTTAATATTTCACAAAGAAAAATAGTTTAGAAATAATAAATTAATATCAATAGTCTTTAATTGGTAATTGATATATATTTCTAATGAATTTGGACTTTAAGGGGCTTCCTTTAAATTTTCCTATACTGGAGCCTGGGGCAAATGGTCCTGTTGCCCACCCTCTGGCCCCGGTCCTGCAAGTGCATATCCTAAACCTATAGTAAAACAACCATTAACGATCCCAATTGATATTGTATGACTACTGGAGAAAAAATTACAATACTTTGAAAAATAATAAAAAAAAAACAGCCATCACAAAATTGTATTGTTTTATTCACAAAATACCCAGGTACAACTATCTACATAATATTAACCTAGATGCAACAGTGCTATTTAGTATATTAGTACTGCAATCGCGATTTTGTTTATGGTAATTTTTCTGCAATTATAGTTGTCGCGATGATTAACGTAGGACACAGAGAATGACTAAGTATTAATATACATTAAATATAACATGCATTTAACTGCATCCTGAATACATCATCATTGTAATCCAATAATTATCGATAGTCCAAAGAATACATTATAAGACAATATGCAAACATTTCTGTGAGTGCAATATATGAAAAAGATTCAAAGTAAAGTAATCACACATTAAATATGCAATTACTTTACTTTTAATTAAATGTTTTCATTACATAAATAAGTATTATTTTCGATGTATCAGATGTGAATAACGAGATACTTGTATTATAATTTATTTAATTCTTGATGAATGCACTTAATGAATAATAAATTTCAATATTTTTACAAACCTAAATGTACCATTATAACTTATTGTGGTTTATTATGATTGCTGTTAAGAGAAAGTTCTATAAAACTAAATATATAAACAAATTTTAGAGTAGGTTGATTAAAATGAAAATAAATTATTATTTGTATATAAAACTTAGATTAGACAGTTACTAGTCTGACACACAAATGAAGCCTTTTCATAGAATTATATTATCTGATTAAAATATTAATTATTTACCAGCTCCTAAAATTATTGACCTAATATTGTAAAAAGTATATTTAATAAAATATTCCAGTTTTTCAGTTTTTCTATTATAAATCCATTTTATTCCACTAATAATTGAAAAAACATTTTATCTTAATTTAAAATGTCAGGTAAACATTAAAAACAGTCTCCAGTACTTGAAAAATGAGTGAATAATAGATTTATAATATTTCAAGAACTAATAGCATCAGGTGGCATGAAACCTGAATTACTGAAACTTCTTAAAGATGCTCGTCCATTAGGATAAATAGAAAGTGCTGTAATGCTTGCATGATCTATACCCAAACGTAACCAAGCTTCTGGTGTTAATTGTAAAGTTCTAAAACATAAAAAAAATGTTATGATAATTTTGATCCAAAAAGTAAAAAATACAAGTATACCTAGTAAAAACTAAATTACATTAAATAAATTAACAAATAGTCGACAACTAAAAATTCTTCGCTTTACAAATACAGAATATATTTTGTTAGTAAATAATAAACAAATATAATTACCTCATAACAAAATATCTTATAACATTTCCATGACAAACAATTATTTCATAAGAATTTTCTTTTTGTTCTGGTGGAGCTCTATGAATGAATTTCCGAAAAGCAGCTTCAATTCGAGCACCATCACGATAAAACTGCTAAATTATATTAAATAAAAAAGTGTTGTATAAGATTTATAAACTTGCTTTTAATTCATGCTTACATATAATTCAGGTTTCCAATGTTTGTTGGGTGGATCTGGAGGTACTGGTGCACCTTCTCTTAATAAATCAGATGAATATAAGGGTAAATTTGCTGGTAAATGTTTTTGGATCAATGAGCAAGTTTCCATTGCACGTGTCATTGTTGATTGTGTAATTGACGTCCATGGATAGTTCAATAAACTTAAACGTTCACCAGTCAATAAAGCTTGTCTTCTTCCTATTAACAAATATTTCAAAGTCAAACCTATTTTTTATTTAAGTCTGTCAAGTAGGTAAATAATAAAATAATAAAATATTGATACCATGATAGTTATTAATATTACAGAAAATATAATAAAAATACCTACCAAACGGATTGTTTGTTTTTTTTTTTTCAAATGGTTATTGATCTAATAACATTGAATATAAGCTGGGTAAAGCATTGAATTATTGAATAACCAATGCTTGTTTTTAAATTATTAATTTGTTCTCGTATTTTACAGTAACAAAGTACTTAATAAAATACAATCATCTATTTTTATTTAATTTCATAAAATAATAATATCAATAAAAATAAAAATATAAGTACTTACTTATATTTTTATATTTTACTACTGATAAATTAAAGTTGATATAGATTTACAATAAATACTTATACATCATAAGTATGCATATTATTTTATATTTATTTTTAAATAATTCTGAGGTAATACATACCGAGTTCAGTCAACTTCCTTTCCTCATCAGTCTCACCATTTAGATTGTATTGCCCATGTCTAATAAGAAAAATGTGCCTTGTTGCACGGGATTTTTTTTCTTCTATTTGCTTATTATACTCATTTTGTAATTTGGAGTTGTTTGGGTCAACTGGTTTCACCAGGCTCTTTGGATCTCGTCTGGAAAACGTATATATTGACGAACACAATCATATATATACTTTTAAGTGAAAAAGACAAGGTGAAGAATAAATAAATAACAAAGGGTTATAAGAAATATAATTTATTATGTCATTCATAGTGCAGAAAGACTAGACAATATGACTATGTTAGTTTTGATTAGCACTTCTTTTGCGAGAAGCTTATAAAAAAACAATTGAGATTATAAAGCAAATTATTAATATAAAATAGGTTACTAAAACAAAATAAATTTTTCTTTTAAGTGACTAGGAATGTGAAAGTTGATATAAAAGCAATAAATACTTAACTATAAAACAATCTTAGTGAGCAGAATGTACATTTTGTAATGCAGTCTTATTATAGAAGTTGTTAGTATTGAAATATAATATTAACAACATTATTTGGTGCACAAATTCAAGTGTCCAGCAAATGTTTTATTTTGGTATTAAGCCTCGTGCTTTTGGATAGTTTTTATTTGAAGAAGGTTTAATTTTTGGTCCAACAGCACTTCGAATATTCTTTGGCCGTTCAGCAATAGATGCATCAACTTGTAAGTCATCCTCAACTTTCAATGCTTCGTCAAGCATTGATAATAATGAAGGGGAAATTTCTGGTTTCTTATATTCTTCTAGTTTATGTTCAAGTGTAAGTAAATTCAATGTTATCAAATTTTCATTTCTTCTGTTATTAATCACACCATTTATGCATCCCCGAGTATGTCCTTCTAATTGATTACTAACCATACGCCATTCATTAGTATCATCATCATAATATAGTCTATCTTTAACATTTTGAAGTTCATCTTGAGGTATAAAATTTGACATTATTATATTGCCAAGTTTAAGTTGACGAGTCATGGCTTCTTGATTAGATTCAATATCTCTTCTTTGTTTGGAGTATTCTTCTTCTTTTACTTTTAATTCACCTTTAAGACTTTGATAAAGACCCATCAACTTATCAAATTTAGCTTGTTTAGATTCTACTTCTTCCAGTAATGTTGAATAGGTTTCTCGAATTGACTCTGTATAGCCAGCGATTTCTTCTAAGTTTTTGGCTAGTTCCTGTTCCATTCTTATTTCTTCTTGAATCTCTTTATTGCGCTTATCAATTTGACTTTGTTGCTCATATAAATGATCTGTAATTGATTTACCTCCTCTTAATAGGCTACTTTCCATGGATTGAATACGAGTAATCAATGAAGCCATAAAATCCATTTCTTCAGCAACTTTTGCCTTTTCTAATTCTATATCATACAACATCCTATTTTGATCATCAGTTGAAAGATTGTCTTTATTTTCTAAAATGTTATTGCGCTTTTCATTTAGATCTTGCTGCTGTTTTTCTAAAAATTTTGTATGTTCTTGAAGATTTTCTACATCATAGTTTTTTTCTTTTTTAGTTACTTTTTTTGACGACTTTTCATTTAAAATATTTCGTAATTTGGATATTTCATCTTGATATTGTCTAATTAAAGCATCCTTGGGATCTTCATTAACACGTGGTGCATTATGTATATTTTTTGCTCTGTTTGCATAACGTAAAGTAGTGAGTGTTTCATCCCAGTTATAACTGGCTGGTCCAATATTAGCTATCATTAGTGTTTTAGAATTTCCTCCTAATGAATCTTGTAATAGTCTTGTAAGCTTTGAATCTCTATATGGTATATGTGAAGAACTTTCTTCAACAAGAGCATGTATAACATTTCCCAGAGTAGACAATGAAAGATTAATTTTTCCAGCTTCTTTAAGTCGTTGACCAGTAGCTCCACTTTTGCTTTGCCTTTCACTACCAGCCAAATCAACGAGATTCAACTTTCCAACTCTAATACGTTCAGTAGAACTTTTAATTTCAACAGTTACTGTAAAAATAGCATGGCTTCTAGAGCTATGCTCATTCATATCAGTTGCACCAATAGTTCGATTTTTGTTACCTTCTTGCATAACTTTTAACATTTCTTGAACATTTTTACAAATATATTTGTTTAAATTATTTACATAAACGCCAACATCTTTGTCTTCACGAAGTTCACATTTTCCTTTAGATTTTGCTTCTAATAAATCACGAACTTCTTCCTGGTATATCTCCAAATAAGAAGAAAATACTAAATATTGTTTATTATTTGACTGTTCAATAGTTTGAAATATTTGTTCGAAAGTCCGAGGTATTATACCACGATTTTCTTGGTCAGTTAAAGGTAATTTTTCATCTCTGACACCTTCCATTGTATAGGTCTTACCAGTTCCAGTTTGACCATATGCAAATATAGTAGCATTAAATCCATTTAAAACGGATTCAATTAAAGGATGAACCATTTTTGCATATAGATCTTTTTGAGAGGAGTTCCAATCAAAAACAGAATCAAATGTAAATTGTTTATATTCAGAATCATCATTTTTTGGAACAGCAACTGCAACTGAATTTTCTTCTTTGATTATTTTCACAACCTCTGTATAACCATTAGATATTTCTTTAGAACTCATAGGACGACATCTCACGATCACCTGGATGTTTTCTTTTTTCGTTTTAGCTGAAGACTGGCGACCGCTTCGCTTTTTCGTCTCCATTGTGGGAAATGCAATATTTTTTTGTGTTATGGTTAGACTGACAGGTATATAATTTAAATCGCGGTTGAGCTAGCACCTGCAAATGTTAAAAAACACACCCCAGTCACAGTTAAAGATTAATTAAATGTTTTAGCAAAGCAACAAAGTTTAGAGTGAACGATTAAGAAAATTATCACACATGTTACGCCGTCACCTGCAGACTACGGACGAGTAACAAACGCTCTTACCTGTCCCAATTGGAATCCCACTTAGATTCTCTGTTTTCGAACACGGTATAGTAATCTTTTTCATTGTCGACATTCAACCAACGTTTGTTGAAACCGTAATATGTAGCTAGACTACCGCAGGCCGCGCTCAAACCTACCGCGACAAATTGATTTAAGCGACGATAAGTTGACGCCATATGGTCTATTAGAAAAGTATGAAAATCGTATTACGCGCACATAGGCCACGCAACTAGTTGCTACTCCTACTAATTGCAAACACGTATATAGAGAACGGAAATGGCTTGACCAAAAAAGGAACTATAAACCGACTGCGGCACAGCTAAACAAATGCACGTACAAGAACGTGCACATATACAACACTGTTTTACAATGGTAACGACGGATACTAAATATGAATCACCGGGTTGAGGGGGTACCGCAACCGTAATCAGCGGCTGCGGAGAGTGGACTGGTCGGGCACTCGGTGACGGTGAAGAGAGGGTCGGCGACGGCTAGACGGTTTTGGAATCGCGGTGTAGATTGTTGTAGATATCAATAGTCGATTTGATTACGCTCAGTACAAGATTGCGGGTACCATATGTGTTAGCTGGTAACCGTGGTGACGGTACCTCATGGTATCAGGATGTGCGGAAAATTCGTGTGAAAATTCCGTTCCTTACAACGGGAACACCAACGTTTAAACGCTTGTACGGTTGAAATTCGTATGCATTTGATGCATATAACTATTAAGTCTATTTAGTCTACAATGTAGACTCTACATTAATTCATAGAATAAATACAAATTAATAATATTTATTCTGTGATTAATGGGTTTTTGGAATTTTATCATGATATCATTACGGAATGAATAAATTCAATCTTTTCCGCGATCCAATCGTTGTTCCTTCAATTAAGTAATAAAAATTACTTGTTCCTTCCTTCCACGGCTAACCGTGTTATCGTCATTCATTGCTCGTGGTCGATTCGATGATTGCGTTATCGTTATCCGTCCAGGTTAGGTTTTTATTTAAATAAAAACATGTTTTGAACTTTTGAATTAGGTTCGATAAAAACAGTTCGTGTAAATACGTCTACAATTTTTGGCTTTGACTCCGTCAAAACGTTATACCGATGGTCGTTTAGCTGTAAGTAAAATTAATCATTTTATAACTATAAAATGTACTTAGATGTTTCTAGTACGGTGCATTTACTTTCGATGGCCGATTATTTGTTCGCTGACTGTTTAAAAATGATATATGTACTTCCTAAAGAGTGTTTTAAAGTTGTTCTTTTTCTTTTTTTTTTCTATTTTAGTGTTATATTCGTTGACTATTAAGTTTAAACTTTTTTCTAGATTCAAATTGCTTACATATTGTAACCTTTTGACTTATACATAATTCTTTTTATTTTAACATACCACGTATATTTTTTCATTTGTTGTGAAATTTAGTCTACTATTATAGAATATTTTTAAACATAATATAGTTTTTAAAATATAATTTAATATTTTATTTTGCATGTAAAATAGAATTTACAGTATTTATATCCATAGTACAAAAATTACATATCTTTCCAGTTATTAGAAGTACTTAATTGGTATAAAGTTGATGTGTATTAATAATAATTTTAAACATTTTTATAGATGTCTGACGATTCAGATTCTGACCACAGTTTCGGTGACTGGGTAGAAAATGGATCTGATTCGGTTAAGTGCCTAATTTGTGAACAATCATTTAATGATGTACCAGAAGCAATAGTTCACTGTAGTAAAGATCACAGTTTTGATTTTTCAGTTGCAAAACGTAAGTATAATATGGATTTTTATTCATACATTAAATGCATCAACTACACAAGAACTCAAGTACAAGAAGATGAAAATTTTAATCCTAGTACACTCTTTGAACTCGATTCTCAACCATGGAATGATGATAAATACTTGTCACCTGTTATAAAAGATGATCCTTGGCTAATGATTGGTAAGAAATTTTAAAATTTGTTTAATTTGCCATTACATTTTTACAATATTTTTTTAGGTTCCTATTTCAATATTAAAAACTTTTCATTTTACAATATTACCTGTAAAACTCAATTATTAGTTTTTTAAATCTATTTTATAAAACACCTATATTTGAAAAATATGTAAAAAATAACCTAATGTACAATTGATTGGTACAAATATTTACTAAATAGTTGTTAATTATTTAAATTAAGTATTGTTCCTTTGTAATCAAAGTTAAATTTAAGGTTTATTATTTAGATATTGATGATGTAATTGAAGAAGATAAGAGTTCAGAATCTGGTTATACTGTCAATTTTGAAAACAACCAATTTACATTGTCCTCTGAACATTTTAGTCATATACAAAATAAAATACAAACCGTTACAAAACAAGTAATATAAAAATTAAATTAAATAGTTGAACATTATTATTTCTTAGTTCAATAATGTTATTATAAAATATATTCAGCTGGAACTAAAAGAAAAAGAACTTGCTGATGCCCACAGTCAAATTGATCAAATGAAAGATACACTGACCAAAATTTTGTCTGCTCGACCTGAAGATTCTATTAACACAGCTTCTACCATCAATTTAGAAGACGATCAAGGTTATTTTGGTTCATATTCATCTGTTGACATCCATTATGAAATGCTTAAAGTAATTTATTTAAATTTATTAACTATCAACTATCTTCATGTGAGAAAAACATTTTATTCATTATATACAAAATTAATACAACTTAAACTTAAAAATATTTCTGTCCTTAAACATTAAAACAATATAAAATTATATAATGAATATAACATCACATATATTTACTGTCTTCATCTAATTGATGTGTAATATTGTATTACTATACTATACAAAATTATAACAATATTATAAAATCACTTAGATCTTTACTCATGACTTTATATTGATAATAATTACATTTAAATACTTATATTTTGATTTTAGGATAAAGTACGAACTGAAAGCTATAGTTCAGCTATATTATTGAATGCATCATCATTTAATGGTAAAACCGTGTTAGATTTGGGTACTGGTAGTGGAATACTATCCATGTTTATGGCAAAAGCTCAAGCAGTGAAAGTTTTGGCAGTTGATGAAGCTGATATATTATACAATGCTATGGACAATTTTAGGTATGACATATCTTTTATTAATAGTATATCATTTATAACAAATATTTATAGTAATAAATATTTTATATTGTATTAATGTGTTACATAAATATATCAGAGAAAATGGATATGATGATATCATTGTACCAATCAAAGGAAGAATAGAGGATGTAACTTTACCCGTAGAAAAAGTTGATGCAATTGTTTCGGAATGGATGGGATACTTTTTGTTATTTGAATCCATGTTAGATAGTTTGATATTTGCTCGGGACAAGTATTTGAACAAAAATGGTATCATGTTACCCAATGAATGTAACTTATTTATCAGTGGTATAAGTGATACAGGCAAGTGCTAATAATAATTTAATATTTTTAATTCATTTTTATACACTTTATTGTAGTGGTTAACATTTTATTAATTAAACGTATCTGTAATTTGTATTACACATTATGCTTTTAACATATTTACCTTTTCAATAACTACTTTTATGTATATTTATTTATCTTAATAATAGTTGTGCTTTCTAAAAAATTAATATGTGGGTGGCTTATCAATAGTTATAATTTCCTAATTTATTAGATATCAGATAAAATTAATTCAATTTTTAAACATTTTTAATTTTTCATAATTATATTTATTTTTTATTGTAAAAATTACAGATAGATATAATGAAATATTAGGTTTTTGGTCAGATGTATATGGTTTTCGTATGCCGTCCTTAAGAACAGAAACATTAAATAAAGCACAAGTTGAAATTGTACCTATTGAGCATATTATAACTGAGGAATATAAACTTTGTTCCTTTGACATGTATACATGTGATACTAATTCTACAAACTTTAAAGTGAAATTCAAACTAAATGTAAACAAGACATGCTCAATGACTGGTATTGTTGGGTATTTTGATTCAGTATTTGATAATGAAAATCCCGTGACATTATCAACAGCTCCATATTCGCCACCCACTCATTGGAAACAAACCGTATTTCTTCTACCTGATCCAATTTCTGTGAATAAAGGTAACGTAAAAGATATTGTATTATTTAATAATATAATGATTCTGTTCTAAATGTTTCAAATTATCCATTACAAAATTATTATTTGTTACATAAACTATTGTAGGCTTATGATTGAATTGACTTAAGTATTATAAAATAATTACAACTGTTTAGTTTTTAACAATAATTGTTATACTTAAATAGTTTTATAGGTATTATTTTTATGTATTTTTACTATAATGATTATTGTTGTTTTGTTTTATATATGTCATAGGTGATATGCTTGTTGGTGATTTTCAATGTGTCCGAAATATAAAACAAGTGAGATCTTTGATTGTAACAATTACCATAAACAATAAAATATATACTTATAATGTATCTTAAAACTTTGTCATGTGATTATTTTATTTTATCATATTTTGTTGGCAAACATAAATATTAAACAACATAGAATACTTTTATATTTTTTCTTAAAATTATTCAAGATATATATTTTAATATATGAAACATGATTTTTATCTATTTTCTTAAGATATTCTAGAGTATTATTTAAAAAAATTTGTCTTGCTATTATCTTGACATGGTTCAGCTGAATTTTCTGCATTCATCCGCAAAAAAACTACACCTGTTAGGAATCAAAAAATTATAATAATATATAATAATCATAAAAACATTAGTGAAATTTAAATTTAAAAACATAAGTAATTAATAAAAAGTAATTAATTTGTATATGTGATTAATAAAATAAGTAGCTATTTAATTTTGAAACTAATATGTCATTACCTGAGGGATTTACACGAACTTTTAGTGAAGATTCTGGATTAAAATTACACGATGTTGTATTTTCATTTCCATAAAGATTCTAAAAATTATACAGTGTATTATTTAATATATTTATTAAACTTGTATGAATAAATAGAAATTAATGAAATAGTAATTTTTTTAAAAAAATAAGACTTACAAAAACTTTGTAGCCATTAGGATTGTTCATACCGAAATCTTTTAATGTTATATTATAAGGATAAGGAGCACCGTCAACACGACGACTTACGAATGCTATTGCATAAGAGTAGTACCCATTATTAATGGGTTCAATTGGTCTGGTCCAAATATCGATACCTTTGTCCTAAAATAAATGTATTCATGTTTATTAACCGATGCAAATTTGACAGAAAATAACAAACCTTAAACACTCTATGGCCTTGTATTCCAAGAGCGTCTTGATTGATCTTAATAACTTCTTTATTTTGTAAAATTTCTTTAAATTCTGGACGTATCTCTTTTAACTTATTAGACATAAGTAACGGTGCGGCCAAAACAGCCCAAATGGCCATTTGTGTTTTACTTTGATCATACGTCAATCCAAAATTACCAATCAAAAGCTAAAATGAAATATGTTAGAACAAATGAAAAACTGCATAAAATCTTTGATAATAATATTACCATGTCTGGATCATTCCAGTGTCCAGGTCCAGCGTATTTTGCCCAAAACTCTTGTTTTTGTGCAAAATAATCTGCTATTTTTATCATACTATCCCATGAATCATCAATATCATCATAGTTACGCCAAAGATTGCAGTGTTTGGCCATTGATGCATAATCAATCTGTTATTAAAATTGTGGTTAATAGTTTACGAATTAGAGGTTAAATGTATAAATCTGTAGATACTTACTAACATTCCTTTTTCTTCTTGATAAGCTGGCCAGCTACAAGAGTATACCATTGGTCTTCCTGTGTTGTTCAAATGCTTTCCGAATTCTGGATAACCTGCATTAATAGTTAATTGAAATTAATTATTTTATATTTTTTTGTTTTTCAAAATTTCTTAATTTTGATTTAAGTGTCATAAATGATAATTTATTTATCAAATGTTGAAAACGATCTGCCAAGTATATAAAATGAGGTTTCTAATTTTTTGTAAGCAAACATAAAATTGTTTAAAATTAAAAGTTTTACAAAATATTTCACTATTGTGGATTTAATCTACTGTCCACTTGGAAAGTTATTCGTGGTTCAAAAATATAAATGTATAACAGAATGAAATGTAGTATTTGGTCTGCTTTTTCCTCAAAAGCTCATCTGTATTTTATTAAGTTTAATACGATAATATTTATATATATAATGCAATTCGGATTTTTAAATTCTGAGCAATTACGACGTATGAAACCGAGTATCCGAAGGGCCTTATTACAGATCATATTTATATGGTTATTGAAAGACAGGTCATTTGATAATAATATACCTAGATCTTTTATTTGTGTTACTACCGTAAGATCAGAGCTATTAATTGTGTAATTAAATTTTAGGTTTAATTTTCAACGAGAGAAAATTATCTGTGAGAATTTTTCAACGTTTATGCTGAATCCGTTTATTGTGTACCACGAATAAAATGTATTCAAATCAGATTGTAATTTAGTACAATCATCAATTGAATAAATTAGCAAATAAAGTTTTAGATCGTCAGCAAAAATTAAAAACTTTAGTTTTCAAAGATATTTGTAATATCATTTATAAATAATAAAAAAAGCAGGGGCGATAGGTGTCCACCCTGTGTGACACCGGATAAAGCCTTAATACTTGTTGAGATAGAATCACCTAATTTAACTTGTTGCGATCTCTCATTTAGGTATGATTTAAACCATTTTAATATTTGTCCAGATATGCCGTTATATTCTAATTTTATTTAATAAAATAGATAGATCTACTCCATCAAATGCTTTTCTTATATCAGTATACACTGCATCAACCTGCGTACCTTTACTAATTATTGATACAATGTCAGTATAATATACTAGTAAATTTGTAATGGTAGATTTAGCATAACGAAAACCATGTTGGTTATCTGAAATAATATTATTAAATGCCGTTGCTAATTTAGGTGCTATCATTTTTTCTAATGTTTTTGGTAGTGTACTAAGGCGTGATATAGATGATAATTATTCGCATCGTAGCGGTTGCCCGCTTTAAAAATAGGGTAAACATAACTAGTCTTCCATTTATCGAGATAACAGTCAGTTGATAACGATAGATTAAATAGGTTATGTATAGGATAAGATAACGTATAAAGACAATTGAGATAGATTATTACAGGTATAAGTCGGGGCCACTTTTGAAATCATTTGACAAAGAGTCTCAAATATTTCAACCACCGTAAATTCACATTTATTAAAATTAATATCAGATTCAAAATCATAGACAGGATTACAATTTTTATTTGATTGGGTATAGACCGATTCAAAGCATAATTTAAACATATTTACAGTCTCATCTAAGGACGTTGCCTTAGAATCACCGTAAGTAATATTTTGTGGAATGGTGTTAGATTTCTGTATGTTTTTTACAAATTTCCAGAATTGCTTTGGATTTTTTATAAGGAAGATTGTATTTTTTCTAAATATTTTTCAAAACATAATTTAGCTAACAATTTACATTTTTTCCTAATCGAAGAGAATTCAATGTAATGATTGTTAAAACGAGATGATTTGAATGATTTATGACACTTTTTTTTTATTACTAGGGTGCAGAGTTCTTTAGAGAATCATCTGGGAAACGAAGTATTTCATGAAGTTTTTTTAGGGACCGTTTTTTCAATTGTATCAAGTACTATTTGATAAAAATTATTTAAAGTAAAATTTATATTATTTTCTTTATAAACACTAGACCAATCATGATTGCCAAAAATAATATTCATGTCATAATATTAACAAATAAATTATTAATATTCATTAGGTACCATTCTAAATATTCCAATTCCAACTCTTAGAATTAATTAACTTTATAGTTAAGCTTGCGGTAGAAGCGGTTATACCTTTATCCATGAGCCGGACGTTCGAATAACATCCGTCCAGTTTAACGTAGTCCACGTCCCATTCGGCAAAAGTTTTGGCATCTACCTCTTCGTAACCTAATACTCCTGGATATCCTGCGCATGTTTTGGTGCCCCAGTCCTCATATAATCCGAATTTAAGACCTTTGGAATGTACCTGTTATGAGTTGTTCGATTGAATATTGAACAGTATCCCCATTATTAGGATATTATATACTTTCGGTCATTATCATTGAATGGGAACAATGTTGAGAAATAACTTAGACATTACTATTGCAGTAGCACTTACATAGTCTGATAGCGCTTTGATACCGCTTGGGAACCGTTGACTGTCGGCTTGTAGTTTTCCGTTTGCCGATCTGTTCTTGGCTAACCAACAGTCGTCGACGATGAGGTATTGATAACCCAATTCAGCGTAGCCTTCGCTCACCAACAAATCTGCTGCTCTCATAAACAATTGTTCGCTAAAAATCGTGGTATTATAAAAGTATTGTTCATCAGTGAAAACGATAAAAACTATATAGGTTTAAATTTTTTTGTGAGTTTTATGACTGTCGTTTTCTTCAGCATTGCTTATCTGTCTATTCTAAAATCAGTACCTAGTTGTACTTAAAAATATAGATATCCAGGAAGTCGTATAACATTAACAAAATTTATTTATTTAACAATAATAAAACTATTTTGAATTAGTATTAAAAAAATCAGTGATATCATAATTTACCGACTATACTTATGTCAAAATAGTTTAACTTGGTATTATACTACATAAGATCATAAGAATATGATAGTATAAATTAAATTTATATAAAGCGAATACATTTTAAACTAACACAAAAGTTGAATGAAAATACTAGGTAATTAATTTTATTCTGAATAACAGTTGTAAAAAAAGTGATTCAGATATTTTATATTTTATTTTTCTATCCCTGAGCTTCGGCAGCTTTGAGACCAAGTTTAGTAAGTACCTATCAGTCTATTGTGTGATTTGACTCAATACTTATAACATATCCTGAAAGTCTACTACTGTCGCTGATTAATGGATTAATTCGAATGTTTTTGTAGATATCAAATCACAAATGCTGAATGTTGATGAATTAATAGTGGCGTGGTGAACTTAAATCTCTAATGAGACACAATCATTTGTATTAATTTTTTTTTCGTATAAATTTTTCTGAAAAAAATATATTTATTTAAACAACAATGATTTTTCAATACGATATTTTAAGTTGCGTTATTACCAGTGCTCGACTTGGCAAAATTAAAGAAGGGGGACTCTATTTACTTTAAAAAAAATAACGTCCCCAAAACTGGCTAAGCGTTATGATTATAGCGTAATACTAGTAGGGGGACGCTGAAATTTCTGAAAATTAGTTGAGGTACTCCGTCGCCATGCGTCCCCCCTCAATTCGAGCACTGATTATTACCTCTTAAAAATATATTTTAAAACTCCATTCATAACTTAAAAACATTAAACTTTCCGAACCCCGGGACACCCATCACCATTTTGAATTGAGTCACGTGCTTCAAATAAAGTTGTTCATCACGCCACTGTGAATTAGTAAATTAAATTACTTGACGCAATCGTCGGGATACGTCTCACAGTCCGTAATGCATCTATAACGTTGCCATGCGAGCCATCCCATTGGCGGTGTTAGCGCGAGCCCGTTGTCGAGCCCGTCGACCCATCCGATCGTCACAAAACTCGCCAGGCACGTCCACAGCAAACTGATAGAGAACATACTGGAATGAGAAAATAAGAGACTAATGTGATATGCTCGAGAAAGATTTTTACGTAGGCATTATACATTATAATGCACACATCCATATCTATATTAAATATATTCATATCCTTATGTGCAAGGGTTTTTGGTGTGGTACTGAAATCCAACTATAGCAATGGAAATAAAAACCATACGCACATAGAACCGCCGCGTCGGCGTGTTTCAATTTCACCTGTTCGTTTCCACTCCGACGGACAATCATTGTATAACACTGTAGTACGACTCTCCACCCGGGTTAGTTGTATTGCCAAAACGTAAACGTCCTCTATCGAATCGATGCATTACGGTAAGGCACGGATTCGAACTCGTTTTATTATTATATTAAACGTGGGTATGGCTACAAGATTTTGTCCATAGATATATCTTGTTCACTGTTCGTGTCACTTATCAGTCCATGGAGAGCCATAACCGAATGTTATCCGTTTGAAAACCGACGAAAATGTGTTCTCGTATACGTTTCGCAGCCGGTAAGATAACGCCAGTTTCCTTTCAAAAAAGGTCCTAACTACGGCCAGTAATGTATTTACAAGAGAAACGGAATATAAAGTATAGATCTGCTCCTGAGTTTTTTTTTTACGCCTAATTATTTTTCAATTATAATATTTTTGTCTTTAATGCGAATGTTTAAAATGCTTAAAAGTATGACTTGGAAATATTTTATTTATCTTGAATGAACTAAAAGTTAAAAGTACCTAAATGTATGCATATTTTGTAAACAGAGCAATGATGAAGTGAACGTAATAGATTCGCCCACGGGAAAATCTTTAATACGCCAGTGACCACGGTGACATCTACGACCGTCCATACACACATAGGTTTCTAACGAACGTAAGACTGATTTCGTTTACCCTCACCAACTTTAGGCGCAGATTCAAAACTAAAAACTAAACACTATCTAACCTAGGGGCTGAGGCCCTCTCAGCCCTCCCCCATAAATAAACCCATGTTCAATAGTAATACGCATAGGTTACATTTCGTAGACGATCGGTGCATGAAAACGTGAAAGATCTTACGAATATTCGCGACTACAAGCACACGTAAAAAATGTCAATTGGAACAGCGATTCCTAAAGCGTATTCCGTGAGATGATCTCAGTGGTTCTGTGAGATGTACGCGATGCGTTGAGAATAATTATTGTAAAAAACAATAATTATGAAATCTGTCTGTAAAATATTTTCTGGAGCAGTGCATATTTTAACTAATATACTGAGCGACAACAATGTATTGGCAAAAGTTAAGATATTTTTAATTATTTTATAATTGTATTTAGTAGTAATTTATTATGCTTGATTTTGTTATTTGTTTATCATTTAATTTGACGAAGTTGAAACATTAATTATATTGAAACGATAAAACCGCTAATTTCATCACAAAATAATGCTGTTCGTATCTGCCTAAATAAGACAAATCGAATCGGATAAACTAATGATAACTACAAAGAACTAAATGTACTCCTTCTTAGCTCCTGTATAAAAAATTCTTTATATCATTCACACTAAAAAATCACTATCAATTCAATCCTAATATGTGCAGTAATAAACGTGATACTTTTAAGTATAATCTAATTGTAAATTACACCAAAAAAAGAATAGGCCAGAAATTTGTCAATTATTTAGAGCCAATTAATTTCAATTGCTTAGACTTTAATTTGAAGAAACTTCTTAGAATAAATAATGAAACGAATGTAAATAAATCTGTATCTAATTTTTATTTAACTAATTTGTAATCTAAGAAATTATTCGTTTGTACTATGTTTCATTATTCACTGTCTGAAATTCTTTATTTATTTTATAATTCTATTTGTATTTACATTTAGTTTTAGATTATTGTGTGTATAATTTCTATCTTTATTTATCTTTGTCTTAAATTTCTTAATTGTAATTGTATGTATATTGTATATATTGTAATCTATTATTCTAATTTCTAATGTTAATACGTTGATTTTAATAAATAATTAATAACTCCCTATCTCCAACACAAGCTATAGCTTAAAGGAGATAGGACAATTATTAAATTTTAATATGATAAATTATTGTAAAATTAAATATTAATATGATAATAAATAAAATTGATTATCAGAATATCTACAATGGGAAGCCGATAAAAATCATACAATATTGTATTATAATACCACGGATGGACAACTCAAAGTTACAAGAGGGCCAATTTTTAGAAAATTAAAATCTAGCGGGCCGAAGCAGAGGGGAAAAAAAGGTCATTCAAAATATGAATTTTTATTAGCATTTATATACATCAAAATAATAAATTTAATACACACGATAGCACGACACGAATGATAAGAAGAAACTTACATAGTTAAATAGTTTGGTATAAACTGTTATGTTTGAAAGTTATACGTATACATACGTGTACATATGATATTTAAACATTTAACAATGTTTAATACCAGATGAAAATTATTATATCGATAAGATAGAGTAAATATAATAAGATAATATAAATGATTTGATGTAATTTGAAAATATAGCACGGGCTAGATAAAAAAGGCTCGCGGGTCGCCAGTTGCCCACCCCTGATATATACCATTACGAGTTTAGATGGTATTATGGTTTCTAAGGTTTGAAAAACTTTCAAACACTGGTTTCTAATTATCTTTTCTTATAGGTTTTTCATGATTTGTTGATGTTGATTTTATCGATTTTGATTATATCGTTGGTCAAAAGGCCAAGTCGTAACCCACAAAAACATAATTTTACAAGTGACACTTTGAACATGTTATCAATATTGGTTTACGACGTTAAGTAAACGGATTAATATTAAAATACAAATAGTTAAATTGTACAGTGGGTCGCGACAGTTGGTTAAACACAAGAAAATTGTATGAAATTTAATACTTCGTTAAAAACCTGTTTTTGAACAAAATGAGGGTTACAACAATTGGCCTTTTGACCAACGATATGCATGGACATTTTTATTTGTCGCCCAGATGAAATTGCTTAAAACATTCACTGTTCTGGAGTATTGGTTTTTGAAAAAATAACAGAGAAATTGGAATCCCACGAAACGCAAAACCGTTTCCTAGCGGTATAAAAGTTTGGGAACCGCTGGTCTTGAGGGCGGCTGCGCGGATCATCGCCAAGGTTTCGGTTTCCACGTGCCCACCCCTCAGACGAAAACAAACGACGATATTTAAATACGTACGCGATTGCAGCAGATGTGGTCGTTGACCGGCGTTGAGAACACGGATGTAGGCACGCGGGTCCGGCGGTCGAGTTGCTTCGGGTAAATCGACGGGGACCAACGTAGCACTGCGGTCGACCAACAGCCGGTCGGTACTGACGGCAATAACCGAACGGTGTCCGTGAGGACGACCCATAGTTATCGATGCCGCCGCTGCGCTCACCCGGTGTTTTGTAACTTCCGCGCGGGGGATTCGAGACCGGTTTGGCAACGCGATAGATCCCTATGACGCGCGGGATCATCGCGGTGTGATCCGTGTTGCATGTGCTTATCGTTACGATACGTGCAGGTTCACAAATGTTATGAAATTTTTTTAATTTTTTTTTAATAACATTATCATATTCGGTTGCGCAAGACTCGGCCCGGCGCGCATACCGAATGTAACGTGTGTTTCAAAACAGGTGAAGATCGAGAAATGAACGGCAGCCAAACGGAGGTCCGCGTGTTCCCGTGAATTATAATATAATACCATTCTCGTACGATTATTGTTGCACGTGCGCCGTGGATAGGACCGGCCCAAGGGTAGCTATGGGATGGCCGGGGTTCTAGAGGTTGGCTGACCCATGGTTAATGTTTGTTGACAAAATTGGCCACCGAGAACTTTTTATATATTTTTAGTGTGCCGACTGTAGGTTAAAGTTAATACTAAACTGGGGCAAATGCCCCAGTTGCCACCGTCCCAGTGACGTCACGGGTCTAATTGTTTGATGCAGTAAAACAACTCCATACCGGACCCCATATAAGATGGAATCCTCCGTAAAATAAAGTAAATGTTAATGATTCAAAGATAATCTTCTGTATATATAAAACAGTAAGCTGAATGACTGCTATCAACGCACAGCTCAAACCATTGGACGGATCTGGCTGAAATTTGGCATACAGATAGCTATCATGATGTAGACGTGCGCTAAGCAAGGATTTTTCGAAATTTTGAATTTAAAGGGTTGAAATCTGTTTAATATTTTTTGACCAGGTCGATAACTGCGCTATTGAAAATGAATTATATTAAATAAAACTATTAAAAACTAAAAACTATTAATTTTATTTTTGGCAGTAAATGACGGGTATTGCATAAATATTAAACAAAAAGATCCCGCAACAGGTGCCAAAACAAATAAGAATGTTAGTTCAAAAAATGATTATGCATATCGGTTGATGATTAGACGCGATAAGGACTAAGTTATTTTACGATGCATAAGCTTTGTCAACAATTCATGGTCGAAATATATATAAAGATAGATAGCGAACGATTTCGATACTTCGATTTCGATTCAATCAAAAAAAGCTGCGTGCAAAAGATTCTCAAAACAATCGTTAGATATTGGAGATGGGAGAGTTACTACAGATGAATCGGGATGTATAAAATTACCGAAAGATTTCTGCACAATCATTTATTCGCAAGATGCTCTCATTGACCAGATATGTCCCAGTGTACACAGACAATACACAAATCATGAGTGGCTGGCAGAAAGAGCAATTTTAGTAGCAAAAAATGTGGAGGTCAACGAATTGAATCTCAAGATACAAAATTTGTTAC